ACCAGACTTACTGGCCTGACAGAGACTGGAGAAACACTGAGAGTATGGCCATTGGACACCCTTTTAGGCCATTAATGAAGTCACTCTGGAGGTTCACCTTTTAGCCAAAGATTAGACAGACCCATAGGACAAAATGAGACTAAAGAGGTATACCAGCCCAGGGGCAAGGACTAGAAGGCAGAATGGGACAGGAAAGCTGGTGATGGGGAATCCAAGGTCAAGAAGGGAGAGTACTGACATGTCATGGGGTTGTTAACCAATGCCATAAAACAATATATGTACTAACTTTAATGAGAAGCTAGTTTGTTCTGTAAACCTTCATCTAAAGTTCAATTAAAAAAAAAAAAAACTGAGACAAGACAAAAAAAAAAAGAAAAAAAACCAAACCTGTTGCCGTCAAGTCGATTCCAACTCACAGTGACCATATAGGGCAGAGTGGAACTGCCCCATAGGGTTTCCAAGGAGTGACTGGTGGATCAAACTGCCAACCTCTTGGCACTGCACCACTTAACCACTGCGACACCAGGGCTCATTCTAATTCCGTATGGGGTGCTACTCGATTGCAAATTCCGGGAGGTAGGAGAAAGGGGTTATGCTTCCAGTTTTGTTTGATTATATTGAACGATCTTAGACTATTCTTTCTGTCTGTGGTAGAGTGAACAGATTTTTAATAACATGGAGTTCTAATACCCAGGAGTACTTAATGTTTTTTGTTTTTAATTCTCCTTCAACCTTGATATGACTTACAGCATTCTGGAATTTGCTTGTGAACCTCAGAAGTTCAGACTTGAACTATTCCCCTAGTTCACATAGCTTTTTAGTTGTCTTTTTTGTCTCCTGATAAATTTTTCTCTACAGGCCAGTGATGAAATTTGAACTTTAGTTCCAAGGGAGTGTTTCTGTACTAGTCATCCATTATATTGATGTATTAGCCAAACATTGACTGACAAACAAATCTGTAGAAAACTATCCAAAAAGAAATAATTAGGTCTCTCCTACAGTATAAAATCTTATATTTTAGGAAATTATCTTATGAAAGCTATGCAGTTTTCTACCTTTTAAAGTAGGAGTAATACTATTTATCTCTTCAAGTTTTTAGAAAAATCAAATGAGCTAATGTAAATTAAAGTACCTTGTAAACTGTAAAATGCTATGTAGTTTAATTAATATTATTAATTTTGCATCTCTCACAGGATAGCAATTATAGTAACTATTGGCATATATACGTGTGTGTTTCCAGTCTTCTCAAAGACCAGGGTTTGCTTCTCTTGATTTGCTAGAAGAAGTTGGCCTCTCATGGCTGAGGGGACAGGGAGGGTTAATGGGACTGCTGGTTTTTTGGGTGCTGAAAGCACAATGTTGCCTACAACCTCTAATGTTTCTAACTTAAAAAAAAAAATCAGTTCTGTCGTGCATTTACTTTAAACATGGCTCAAGGCTCTGGAAGTTTTCTGGATTTTAAATGAGTGTGGTTTTTGGTATAAACTTTCTGAATATAGTTTAAGACACATAAAAATACTGAAGGAAACTTAGGTGTGATCTTCTCTGTAAATTGTTATGTTTGAAAAAGTAAAATTTATAGCTGACCTTGATTCAGCATTGAATTAGTCATGCCTTACTTATGTAGGATATTACATCAGAAATTGCTGCATTAGTCTCCAGCCCTGAGTGGTCAACTTCCTGGACTAAATGAAGTCCCAGAATAACGCTCAGTGTAACCAATATTTATTGAGCACCTGTTGTGTGCCAGGCACTGTAATAGGCTCATCTCAGTCTAATTATTCAAGTATTCTTAAATTTCAAATAAGATGTAACAATTCAGAAAAAGAGGGTAAGAATGGTTGCACAACTTGAAGAATGTCATCAGTGTCACTGAATTGTACAGGCAGAAATTGTTGAAGTGGTGTATGTTCTGCTGTGTGTATTTTCAACAATACAACAAAACAAATAAGATATAAATATTTGAATACCAGTGGTATTGAAATGTCCAAACACTAGAAAAATAATATCTGAGTAAATGGGGTAAAGGAAGACAAGGGACTTAATTTATGGCCAAAATCCTAGAGCTTTGGTTTTCCAGTTCAGTTTTTATAGTACTCAGCGAAATAATACATATAGAACACTTATTAATAACTGGGTAAAATCATTAACTAATGGTTCTGGGAAATTGCCAACCACATGTCTGTCTCTTGATCTCTATACTAGACTGAGCTCCCAAAGAGCAAGAATTATAACAACTCACATTTATTAAATGCTTATAACGTTCCTCATAACAACTCCATAGCAACTTCTAGAGGGCTTAGCAACTTACTTAAGATCACACAGCTAATAAGTGACAAAGCTCTTTTTCAAAACCACCTCAGCATGACTTTACAGTCAGTGCTCTTTCCCAGGATACCATCCTGTTCCCAGCGCCCAGCCCAGTCATTGGGCTATATAGATATGCTGTTGATGCTCAAATAAATAATGGATAGCTTTCCTCTACCTTGCTTGGCCAGGGACTACTTGTTCTTTTTTTAAAAAATATTTTCCTTTCTAGTTTGTTAAAATTGATTTTATTTGAAAATACTAAGACTAGCTCACACTGTATTCTTGAAATAAAATCCATTTCTACCTTTTTTCCCTTGCAGCCTTTCATCATGTTTCTGTTTACCCAAAGAAGGAGCTTCCTTTTTTCATCCATTTCACAGCAGGACTGTGTTCTTCTACAGCAATGATAGCCCTTCTCACACACCAATTTCCTGAAATCATGGGTGTTTTTGCTAAAGCTGTAAGTATGATCTCAAGGACTTGTATAGAATATTTGTAAAACACACAAGAAACCATCTCTGATCTGTCTGTAGCGTAAACCAGTTAAATGGTGGGAGATATTTGTTAAGTAAATTACAGGAATTGTTTTATAAAGTTGCTGCCATAAATGTATCAAACATAAGTTTTTGGTAATTTGAGTTATACTTCTGTTGCTTAAAAGTTTCAAGAATACAGTGCTATAACATTATACATTTGTCTTTGTAGAGGAGTTTTGGTGGTAAACATAGCACTTGTTACTAGCTAAAGAATAATCCAACTCTTTTTACCATTAATGTATTTTCTTTGACTTTCTTTAAAAAGTTCTGTATTTTATAAACAAACCTTTTGATTTTTCCATTTAAATCAAATCATAACTTCTAAGGATTTGCAGAACTTTAAATTCAAGAGTGCACCTAGGATAGAGAATAAATAGGTAAGATGGTACATTTGCCCTGGGTATGGAATGTGCCTGTTTACTCAAAGGATTTCCCTGTTATTATATCTGCATATTCTTATTGACTTTCCCCCACCTTGGGTGTAGAACCATTATAGACCTTTGCTTTCATTTTCACTCTTTGGTTTAAACTGCTTCCCCATTTCCTGACCCAGGAAGTAGTTGAGGACTGATATTAGAGAGGGTATCCCATGATTATTTACTCATCTACAGAAACTTATTAATTAATGTACACTGGCTCAAAGTAAAATCACCAAAGATAATTCCCTTTTAGTCTTGAAGCCTTTTAAAAAATGTATCTTTCTTGCACATATTTCCATTTTTACCAGGTTAAAATCCACAGAGAAAAATGCTGATTTATTATATTTCCAAATATAAAAGCACTAAGATCCATAGGAAAAAATATAGCCCTTACGTGGTAATGTATTTTCTATATTTTTCTCTATATGCCTCCATTCTAGCTCCCTGCTTCCTCACAATTCTTTTTCCTGTCTTAAGGCCCACTCACGGGACAATTTATTTTGTGCCTTAAAGATTAGTTCGTTCTTCTGGCATCAGTGGTAAGAGCACTGGTTTCCCTTTTCCCTGGAGAGCACCTGGATAATGTGTTAAGTTGCCACTGGCTGTAGGCCTAAGAGTCTGAGACTGCAGTTGATTCTGGGGCAAGCTTCTGAAGAATGACTTTCCACTGTTGTTCAGGGAGTATAGATATTTGGGTTGGGAACTGACTTCTATTTCCTTTCAGTGTAAAAAATTTAATGATCACACCATAACTCTGTTGTTTGCAATGGTGATGACTGGGGAGTGCACCACAAACTGAAACGTCCTTACTGTGTAATCTGGCATGGGGAACAAATGGGCTAGAAAGGGAATCTCATCCATTTAACAGCTGGAAAAAAATGTGTAACTATGTATTTGAGATTACAGGGAAACAGTGAAAGAGATGGTTCTTGGATTTCTCTCAGGGTAGCAGAATGGGAACGAGGTGAAATAAAGCAAAGAGGTCTAGAATCTGGAATAGGTTGTAGCAATCGTTAGTAGTGGATTTCCATGAAGTACTGCCTAAAATTAATGTGGAGTGTACTCGCTCTGTGCACTATCCATCAGTGTTCGTATATAGGGCCTGCCTTTGCCTAAGAGATCATTAACGACAGCCTTTAACATTAGAACAGCCTTTAACATTAGATAGCACTCTTCTAGCAGAGTCTGAGAATGAATAATACCACATTTTAAAGTGGAAGCTTCTTTTTTAGATCAAAGTTATTAATTTACTGTCATTCTAGTTGATGAATAATAAACAGGTAATTTATTCACTATCTTTTGATATTTGTATAGTTGGTGGTGAGCCTGACTGTGAACTTTTACAGCTATATTTTATCTGTGTGGCCTTTACATGTGCATTTTAAATGCCTAAAAGCTAAGTTTTCATTGAAAGTACCTGCAGACTGATAATTGGTGTGCATCAGTTCCAAGGGTAGGCTCTATTTAAGAGTTAATGGAAAGTGATTATGGCATGGGCAGTCTCCAGCTTATAAACACAATGTATAAATGCCTCTGCATACAGACATATTGACAGCAAGGGAGCTAGATGCTCAAATTCTACTTCTTCACCACTTAAAGTGTGGTCTGTGGGCTAGGAGCATCACCATCAGCCAGGAGCTTGTTAGAAATACAGAATCTCGGGTACCACTCCAGACCTCCTGAATCAGAATCTGCATTTTAACAAGGTTCTCAGATGATCCTATACACACATTTAAAGCTTGAGAAGCCCTGCTCTCCTCTATCCCCAGTTTGAGGAATTTAGAACACCTGGATAGTGCCCATCTTATGAAGGTGGAAAAGGGGTAGCATTGCAGAGTGGTTATGGGCATAGACTCAGGAACCACACTGCTTTGCTTTGAACTCAGCCCTGACACTTACTGGCTGTGCAACCTTGGGTAAGTTACTTAATCTTTTCTACCCCTCATTGTAAAATGAGAATAGTACTACCTCATTAGTTTTTGTGGGGGTTAAATGAATTTGAAATATGTCAAGTGTTTAGACTGTGTCTGCCCATAATAAGTACTAGATGAGTGTTAGATGTTGTTGTCACTGCCATCATAGTCATCATCATCGTCCTCACCAAAGTGCAGCTACAGTGGGAAGCCCACCCCTTCATATTTGGAGCAAATATGTCCTAAGAGTAAACTCAAAAATGCATTTTCCCATAGAAATTATAGTATAAATGGTGATTAGCTGACATTTAAATGATACTATTAGAACTATACTTCTGATGCATTATGCATTATGTGAACCATAGAAAGGGGAAATATTTCAAGTTCTAGGCACTGGCAGACTGCCTTATAGAACAGAACCTATTGGTAACTTGCAAACTACCTATGTTAGAATTTTCAACTGAGTCAGGTATTTGATGACCAAGTAAACTAGAAAGCAATGAAGAATCTTCTATTTAGTAAGGGAAAGCAATTCAAGAAAATTTTCTAAATTTCTTCCATTGTTACTACTGTCTCTTCCTCACCTTATATCTTTTTGTATTAGCTCATGTGCTAGAGCAAATTCAATCTGAATTTATTAAAATACATTTGTTATAAAAATTGCTTTTTTGTGTGAAGCAAGGCATTGGAAATTAATGATTTTTAATAATTCTTACCGAACATCAGGTTTAGATAACTGGAAGAGAACAAACCAGAATGGTTAGTGGTTTAAGTGCCCCTTCTCCCTTCACCTGATATAAAGCTATATGGGGTAAGACTTTATTTTCAGCAGGTTATACTTTTTTTTTTTCCCCTGACTTTTCTTCTGGCTGAGATGAAAACCTAATCTGACATTAGACATAGAGCGATGGAAAAAAGTTGCATAAATCTCTGGAGATGTGGAATGTGCTGATATGAGAGCTGATATTCTCTAACGCCAGAATTCCTGAAAAAGGAAAAATTGCCTTTAAGTGGTAGGTCATTTTCTCACCTGCTTTGAAGCCTGCTGGGTTAAATATGAGAGTTCAGAGTAAGGGTAGCCAGCAAACCAACTGAACTGGAATCCGATTCTGCTTATCTGAAAGGAGCTTCTTTATTTCAGAGCAGCACTGCCCTCACCTTAGAGAACCAATCTTCGTCTACTCCTGGTCCCTTTCATTTCTCTCTTGCAAGAAAAGCTTTCTTAGTAAGGCTTGCGAGGGCATTATCACAACAGTGGAAAGACTAAAGGTGGTCTTTGGGGATTTGGGGATTTGAGCTTACTGGTGAATTCAGGCTTGTGGCATGTGACTTAAGTACTTTGAATTGAGAAGGGTGTTTGAATATCAATATTCCCTAGTTGGGTTTTAACTAAATAGGGCAGCCTTTGCAATGTTGGCAGAAAGGTATTATGGGTAAAGTCAGGAATCAAAAATCTTCCCAAATAAAATGTTCATTTCACTAAGGCAAAACTTTGTTGAAATTTGTTTCACTGAACACATATTGTAGCTGTACTAGGGTGGGAATGGGCCCTGTTTCCACATATTTCTACTAATCTTTATGTGGGAAAATGTGGTTGGACATGCCAGTGATGAATTTCTGAGCAACTCATAATTGGCTGGCTCCACTGTAACTAAGGCCTAACAATCTGCTTGATTAATTCTTTAAGGACTACATTAGCCAAGTTGCATGATTTCCAAAGATATAGAAGGTCAGATGTTACACTAACAAAGGACTTCTCTACAGAGTGTCTCACTGGGGTTTCTTCAGCCGCTTCCCAAAAATAATTAAATTTTTTCTCCCCAAGTTACTTTTTTTTTTTTAAAAAAAAAATAATAAGCAAATATAAATTCCAAGTATCTTTTACTAAATAGTGATCAAAACTGTTGGGAAGGTTTGCCCACTATTCTCATCATTTCTTCCAGGGCAAAGACAGTCTTCAGAACTAGGGGAGTTGACAGACAATTATAACTATATATTGATATATACCAGTAGAAAAAATAATGAATATGATTATTTTTAAGTTTCTAATTTTCCATTGTCATAACCAGTGACATGAAGTCTGTTCACAGATGAATAGTCTTTTTTTATATTCTCCATATGACTTCATTAATGCTAAAAACCTGTGATAGTTGCATACCTCTTTATTAAATATATAAGGCCACATTCAGAAATTAAACTGACAATTAAAATAAGTTTCTTTACTTAGTTTGAAAACAGATTTTTCAAAGTTGAGAGATTGCTTTAGAAGATCTGATAGTTTTAAAAACATTTGAATTGTAACTAAGCTTGTATTCCTGTAAAATGTTGTTCTGTAACATGTTATTTTCACAGTGCTTCATCTGAGGTGTTTCCCTGAAACTATCCAGAGACTAAAAATGAGCCAGTTGTGTGACAGATCAGAATTTTTAAATGTTTACATTTTTGTTTTCTGTTGTTGGTGCCTCTGAAGTCTTTATTTAGGCAGTCTAGCATATTCTTATTTTTATTTTCTTTATTAACGATGATATTTGTAGCAAGGGAGAAGGTGTTTCCTTCTTCCTGTAAGGGTATTTCTCATGCTTCATCCCCATTTCTCCCCTTCAGAAAGAACTAGACTGAGAAATATGTGAAATTGCTAAGGTTCTTATCCAAATTTTCTAAGTTCTGAACTCTTCTTTTCCAAGGAAAAAAGAGAAAAAAGGAATAAAAGTTAGGGCAATGTACTTTTTAATGCATGTCTGTATCCCTTCCGTAGGATTTAATTCTGTTTTGAAGTTTGTGGAAAGCACCCTTTTTTCCTATTAACATGTGTCTGTTAAGTATGAGTTCATAAAACCTCTCCTTGAATTTATTTGGATTTAGTTATTTATTTGTCAGTTTGTTGAACTGTGGTGGCTTGTGTGTTGCTGTGATGCTGGAAGCTATGTCACCGGTATTTCAAATACCAACAGGGTCACCCATGGTGGCAGGGTTCAGTGGAGCTTCTAGACAAGAGTAGGAAGAAGGACCTGACAATCTACTTCTAAAAAAATTGGCCAGTGAAAACCTTATGAATAGCAGTGGAGCATTGTCTGATATAGTGCCAGAAGATGAGCCCCTCAGGTTGAGAGGCACTCAAAATACAACTGCACATGTGGATGGAGTAAAGCTTTAAGGACCTTCATTTGCTGATGTGACATGACTCAGAATGAGAAGAAACACCTGCAGACATCCACTAATAATCAGAACGTGGAATGTATGAAGTATGAATCTAGGAAAATTGGAAGTGGTTAACAATGAAATGCTTGAAGATCGATATCCTAGGCATTAGCGAGCTGAAATGGACTGGTATGGGCCATTTTGAATTGGACAATCATATGGTCTGCTATGCCGGGAATGACAAATTGAAGAGAAATGGTGCCACATTCATCGTCAAAAAGAATATTTCAAGATCTATCGTGAAGTACAGTGCTGTCAGTGATAGGGTAATATCCATATGCCTACAAGGAAGACCAATTAATATGACTGTTATTCAAATTTATCTGCCAACCACTAATGCCAAAGATGAAGAAATTGAAGAGGTTTACCACCTTCTGCAGTCTGAAATTGATCAAACATGCAATCAGGATGCATTGATAGTTACCGGTGATTGGAATGCAAAAGTGGAAACAAAGAAGAAGGATCAGTAGTTGGAAAATAATGGCCTTGGTGATAAAAACAACACCAGAGATCGCATGATAGACCTTTGCCAGACCAACAACTTCTTCATTGCAAATACCTTTTTTCAGCAACATAAATGGTGACTGTACACATAGACCTCTCCAGACAGAATACACAGGAATCAAATGGACGACATCTGTGGAAAGAGACAATGGAGAAGCTCAATATCATCAGTCAGAACAAGGCCAGGGGCAGAACAGACCATGAGTTATTCCTATGCAAGGTCAAGTTGAAGCTGAAGAAAATTCAAACAGGTCCACAATAGCCAAAATATGACCTTGAATGTACCCCACCTGAATTTAGAGAGCATCTCAAGAATAGATTTGACACATTGAACATTAATGACTGAAGACCAGGCCAGTTGTGGGATGACATCAAGGACATCATACATGAAGAAAGCAAAAGGTCATTAAAAAAACATAAAGAAAGAAAAGACAAAAATGGATGTCAGAAGAGACTCTGAAACTTGCTCTTGAGCACAGAATAGCTAAAGCAAATAGAAGAAATGATGAAGTAAAGGAACTGAACAGATTTCAAAGGACGCTCAAGACAGAGTAAAGTATTATAATGAAATATGCAAAGACCTGGAGATAGAAAACGAAAAGGGAAGAACACGCATAGCATTTCTCAAGCTGAAAGAACTGAAGAAAAAACTCAAGCGTCAAGTTGCAATATCAAAGGATTCTATGGGCAAAATATTGAATGAAGCAGGAAGCATTAAAAGAAGATGGAAGGAATACACAGAGTCACTGTACCAAAAAAAAATTGGTTGACATTCAGCCATTTCAGGACATAGCATATGATCAAGAACCGATGGTACTGAAGGAGGAAGTTCAAGCTACACTGATGGCATTAGTGAAAAACAAGGCTCCAGGAATTGACAGAATACCAACTGAGATGTTTCAACGAAGGGATGCAATGCTGGAAGCGCTCACTCGTCTGTGCCAAGAAATTTGGAAGACAGCTAGCTGGCCAACTGACTGGAAGAGATCCATATCTGTGCTCATTCCAAAGAAAGGTGATCCAACAAAATGTGGAAATTATCAAACAATATCATTAATATAACACACAAATAAAATTTTGCTGAAGATCATTCAAAAATGGTTGCAGCAGTACATTGACAGAGAAATGCCAGAAATTCAAGCTGGATTCAGAAAAGTACGTGGAACCGGGGGTATCATAGCTGATGTCAGATGGATCCTGGCTGAAAGCAGAGAATACCAGAAAGATGTTTACCTGTGTTTTATTGACTGTCCGAAGGCATTCGACTGTGTGGATCATAACAAATTATGGATAACATTGCAAAGAATCGGAATTCCAGAACACTTAATTGTGCTTATGAGGAATCTGTACATAGACCAAGAGGCAGTCATTTGAACAGAACAAGGGGATATTGCATGGTTTAAAATCAGGAAAGGTGTGCATCAGGGTTGTATCCTTTCACCATACTTATTCAATCTGTATGCTGAGCAAATAGTCTGAGAAACTGGACTATATGAAGAAGAATGTGGCATCAGGGTTGGAGGAAGACTCATTAACAACCTGGGATATGCAGATAACACAGCCTTGCTTGCTGAAAGTGAAGAGAACTTGAAGCACTTACTGATGAAGATCCAAAGACTTCAGTGTGAATTACACCTTAACATAATGAAAACAAAAACCCTCACAACCGAACTAATAAGCAACATCAGGATAAACTGAGAAAATATTGAAGTTGTCAAGGATTTTATTTTACTTGGATCCACAATCAACACCCATGGAAGCAGCAGTTAAGAAATCAAATGAGGTATTGCATTGGGCCAGTCTGCTGCAAAAGACTCCT